TCTGCTGTCAAACCCACCGCAGACGACGACCACAAGACTGACTCTGAAGACTCATCCAACGCCGACCTCCACAGGGCGGCCTCGGCAGTCTTCTCCTCCTGCCCCGACATCAGCTCACGCGAGAGGAGGCGGCAGCGAGTGATGGCGAGGGAGAGGAGGGTCACGAGGACCATCCTGGCCATCATCCTGGTATTTGTCCTCACCTGGACGCCGTACAACGTCATGGCCGTCGTTGCTGCCTTCTGCCATTGCCGCATTCCTGACGCCCTGTGGACCACGGGATACTGGCTGTGCTACGTGAACAGCACGGTCAACCCCGGCTGCTACGCCCTGTGCAACGTGACCTTCAGAAAAACCTTCTGCAGCCTCCTGCGCTGCCGCTGCCGGCGGCTGTGACAGCACTGGTGTTTTCTGTTTTTGGCAGCTGGCTTTTTGCTTTCATGGAGTTTGGTCCTATCGCAGGTTTCCATCTAAATGTAGAAGAAGATTTAATGTGAACAAAAGGTTGTTTCCATGCTTGCAGCTCAGTGGTTGGTCTGACAAACAGCCGGTGGTGCAAAACGTCCTTAAATCGAAGCAGATAATGCCATCATGTCCCCATTTCCAGCTCAGATGACATGGCCTCTTATCACAATTTGGGCTGTAAATGTTTGATGTTTATGTAGTTAATTAATCCATCTACTTCCTGCTGCTTCTCCATGATGTGTTTAATGAGCAGTGACTGATGTAACAAGGCATAAATGCTGGCAAGGCTGCAGCTACTGTTCATCTTCATTATTAAGAAAGTGTTTGCTAGATGCAGCACAATAAAGGAAATCAAACGGCGTCGTTACTGCTAAGAAACACGTTTAAGGCTGTAAACGTGCTTATTTCTGGTTTAACATGAAAGTCTATGACTCTGCTGGAGCCTCTAGTGGGCATTAGAGGAACTGCCTCAGAGGTTGCTTGGTGGAGACCAGAAGCAGAGTTAAAGCAGATTTTTGTGTTTTTAGTTGAAACTGTAGAGGACCGAGAACAGAACCCTGAGGAACTCCTCGAGCACTTACCAACACTTTAAATGTGGAGAAGTCGATCCGTCTGCTTAAAGACTCGGGTCACTGCACGAACCTTTTATTATTACGACAGCCATCGTGTCTGTGCACCAGTAATCACACCAGACTCTTCACCAAAGCAATGTACAGTCTTTATTTTGCTTATTTGTACAGTTTCATCCTGCAGCAACAATAATCTATAGTTTAAAAAATAGATTTCATAGAGGATTTTCTCAGATTCTTTAAAACTAAACTCGCCTACAAACAAACTCGTGACGATCCCGTGAGGACCAGCGTCCAGTTTAGTCTGAATTCACGGCTACTGTACAAGCTTTAGG